GTTCTCCTTTGTCGACCCACTGCCGCTTCCTCACTGGGTTATCGTGAGGACCCACTTCTCATCTCAGTGATCATCGAGTTGAGAAAGTGAAGCCTCTTTTGGAAAGTGAGGAGAGAAGTGCAGGTGGTCACCCTCCTCGAGAGGTCATACAGCGACAGTTCATGTGGGACCCATCGACCAAGCTTTGCTACCTTGCCGAGCTTTTCTATTCCACATGCAACCGTCGAATGATCATAGCTTGCATGGTCGCCATTTCTCTGGTGGTGAGGTGCGGGTCCTCCTCCACGGTGGAACGTAGTACTTCCAAATCCAACTCCATCGGCCGACCCCACCTCGGAGCATCTTCGAGAGAAAAGTCTCCTTTCTTGAATTTGGCGAACCAATTCTTGCATGTCATGTAAGAGATGACGTCCTCATCGTATGTATCCACCAGCTTGTTATGGGCTTCCTTTGCATTCCAGCCGAAATCGTGGAGCAAAACCAAACAGTGGCGCAGGTACGTTTTGTCACAGTGCAAATTGTGCGACATTGTGTACTGCAAATGCAAGTTCGGTGAGTGATAGCTAGTGTCATGAAAGAGTATAATGTACACGTCACGCACACATGATGACGTAATACCAACATCCATGCGAGCGAAATAGGAGAGGATCAAACATGTATATAAGAACTTCCTAATAGAATTGGCAAGCAGGCATGGTTGTGGTTACGAAGGTAAAGCCAAAGGTTCGCCAGGAGAGAAGGCGTTACCACTTGTGTCTTGAAGACAACCGGCGACTGGCGGAAATACGAGGAAGAGGAAAGTGCGGTAAAGAAGATTGTGCCGCTGCGAAAGCCGCTCGAGCGAAGACGTCAGCAAGAAGCTGGGAGTGCGATGGCCGACGGCCTATTTACCTACTTGCCGAGCTCGCCGCCACCAGATCGAGGATGCAAAAAAGTTCTTTGGCATCAACGACGAGAAGGGCCATCTTCTGATGGATCGGAAGAGGGTTACGCAACGATGTTGTGGATACTTTGAGATCATTCCAGCAGTGGATTTCACCTTTCACCTGATGGACCGAAAGAAGGTGAAGAGGCATTTGTGCAATTGCGTTTTGGAAATTTGCACAGCCGGCCATACCTTGTGCCTCACAAATATACGGTCCCGTTCGCACGATATCCGTTAAGGAAACGGAAGCGGCTTTGAAGAAGATAAAGGCATGTAAAGCTACGAGCTCCGACGACTTGGCAGCTGACTTGTGGAAATCACACAATTGGTATTCCATAGAATGGTTGACGATGCCTCTTAATCGTCGAAGAGAAAAAGTGTCAAAGGGCTGGAGACAGTGCGACATTACCGATCTGGCAGAACAGGATTGCATGAACTACCGTCCAATTCGTCTTCTCTCGTACAGCATGAAAATTTTGAGTAAATTGTTGGTGTCCGAGGTATCGTCCAGCTCTCTACCAACCACTGTGGCTTTGTGACCGGCTGGGGCACCATTGATGCCATACATGTCGCTCGACTCTTGCGGGAGAAACATCGTAAGAAAGAGGACATGTCCTTCTAGCTTTTATCAATCGGGATAAGATATTCGATCGTGTCCGCGGTAAAATATATGGTACATCTTACGGCACTCCCCGAAGAACTGATTTAGTGGGTGCATCCTCCGGCCCAACGAGTCGCGTGTGAAGTGCGTCAAGGCTCTGTACTTTCCCCTCTCCTCTTCGTTGCCGTCATGGATACTACTTCTTGAGACCTTCAGAAGCCGATTCCTTAGGCGATTCTCTACGCTGACGATTTCGTACTCGTGTGCGAGAAAAAAATGATCTAAATGAACGAGTGAGCTTGGACTGTGTGGTTGGCAAACTTCGGACTCGGATTTACGCCAAAAACACCGAGTGCTTGACAGCCGATTCAAGAGTGTCCGTTCTCTTCGGGTCAGTGGCGTGTGCTAACGCGTAGCGTCAAGTATCTTACTAGGGAACGTCGTCAGGTCGAAGTGGCCATTTGTAATGAGATGTAGCTCACTGGACGTGCTTTTGGACGCTGATCTCGAATCTGCCTTCGAAATTTGCAAAGCTATTCTCTGAACGGAGTTATGGAGCTTTTTCCACCGCATTTCCCACGTAACAGGTCGTGGGATCGGATCCCTGCTGAGCTTAATTTTTGATTCTTGTGCAAACGTGGCAAAAAAGTGTTGTGGCGTCACTACTACATCAGTGCTCTCCTTCACTTGCCTGCAGAACAGTCAGCGCTCGCTTATTGGCGCGCTTAGCGCCTTATGATCTGGGAGGATTTTTGGATGTGCAGGTGCCCTTGGCGCGCAGTGCAGGCGTTTTCGCGCTGAGCGAGTGCCATATTCGTATAGGTTTCTAGCCAAATCTGGCATTTTGACCTGACTCCGAAAAGTGAAGCATCCATGGGTTTATTCAGTTGATGTTCGCACCTATTTAGCTGCAGATACATTCTCCTGCAGAGAGCCATGTCTCGCCACTTCTTACGCATTCATATTATTACTGCACTTCCTTATATCTAAAAGCAAATTCCGTCCAACGACAAGCAATCGACAAGAGACTGGCCCTGGAACTATTGGTGACCATCATTCGATCAAATCGACCGCACTTTCAAAGTTAGGTCAAAACCTCACGTCTGGCCAGAAACCTAAGGTCGTTCAGGACGTGGAGCGCTTTTTGAAAACGGTTTTTCGCATGATGTGGGGTCCACGTGCATGGAGTACAAACGTGGCTGTGTTCATTTTTCCTGAACGCCTCTGGGATTGCCAAAAATGGAGTGAAAAAAAGTCCATGGAAACCGATGTTATTGAGCCTGAATGGGCTCATCACTCGCAAGTTCGGCCAGTTGCTGCCTATAGGTCCTTATAAAGGTTGTACTGGTATTTATGAGAAACGTGGTCGTCAGTGGGGTCTTACTTGTGGCACGTAGTTAAGAGTCGACGGCCAATGGGCTCTTAAGCAATCGAAGTGGTACCTGTGGCAACGATCGGATGGCCTCAGTGGATAGCGTGAGGATTCTCAAGCAGACATTGGGGATGGGAATGATGGTTCGACTCCATCGGCTTGCACGTCTTTGCATTTTTTATTTTCCGTTGTTGGTCGCTTCCATATACGTCTGTTAATGAATTTTACTCGGATATACTGCCATTTATAGGCACATCCTAAATAGTTTATAGCCGTAGTCGGTGCTATTCAGCAATTTCGATTTCACATACCATTAAGCAAGAACTTGTCCGAAAGCTGAGCTTATGTTATTCGATGCCCTAATCATGACTATGGCATTTACTTTCAGCTCTAGTGCCATTTATCTCCAATTTGAAGCCAAGTCTTTCTCCCACTGGAGTCGCTATGTACATTCGTTTGAGGGACTTGCAGGGCCATTCTGACGCCAGATTGGATTGACGTCAAGAATAAGTGTCAGATCAGGACCATCGATTACTCCTATAGGCAAACTTTCAGCTAAAAATTTTTTTTGACACTTTTTGAGTCTGTGCATTGGGTTATGCTCAAGAGTCACTTTGTTGAAGTCGTACTTTTGCTGCTTATCGAAACCCTCATTCAGTGGTACGGAAACAAAAAACTAGCAACAACCATAAACGCCATCGGAAAAAAAGAACAAAATAGTCATCATTCCTCCAGGTGCATTTGATGAAGAAATCGGATGAGTCTCTCCTCTTGGTAGGGGAGGACGACATCTTCGTTAAGCGAGCCGTCGCGGGGGTCGACAAATGTCCAGGATGGTTTTTCACTTGTTCCGGCCACCCATGCCCATGCCAAGTATGAATGG